CCCCAAAACCCCAAAACCCCAAAACCCCAAAACCCCTGGGTTCAATAATAAAGTTGATATTATATAAAATGGTATTATAAGCTCTTTCAGAAATATATTCTAGCTATTTAGAGGCCATAAAATTGCCACTTTTTATTCCTGATGACCTTGGAATATTTTTAAGCCCCTTAAAGAGTGCTGAAGTCATATTTATTTCCTAAAAATTTACTCAAGTTTATCAACTCTCTAAAATTTCCCAGGGATGCTGCATAGCTAATTAAAAGCTCATGCATCCTAACACTATGTCTCTGATATAAACTCTAAGAGAGGCTATCTTGACTCTTCAAGTATGCTTAAAAGCAAGGTATATGAGGAGGAGTTAATAATCGAATCATAGTAAGATGCAATGAAACCAAAATGAAAGCTTTTCTAGCATTAAAAGTTGATATAAACCGTTGTCTTTTGATAAAAATACAAGAGCCTCTCACCTCACTCTTGTGTGAACCAGGAAATCAGAATAATAATAAAATTTGAAAGTTCGAAACTTACGATTATTCGTAACTGATATTCATAATTTGTCTTAAGAACTGTAATTTTACAGGATAATTTTATTTTCATGATATAAGAAAGTGCAAGGATAAAAATAATCACTTGGCCCACATCTTTTCTTTAAAAATATTAATGGTAAGACTGGGAGGAGACTCCAAGTAAACTTTATATATGTTTAGCGAAATAGACGGTTTAAACTTGACTTACAGATAGCTCCATGTTATGCTTGAGCCTAAAATGGAGAGAAGACCTTAGCAAAGCTCTCTATAAATAAAGTTTTAAATTATTGGTTACCATCAAGTTTGTAGTCAATTCTAAATTTTCCCTAGGAAGTATTTTTGGAGTAGTAACCTATCTTTTCAAAATACTGCAGAGATAAGGCATAAAACCCTTTTAATACATTTTGGAGAGATAATAATTCAATAGAAAAGATGGTAAGCAGAGCCCAAAGATAAAGAGAGTTTTGTGCTATAATTAATTTGAGTAGTATTCTAATAAACAGTTTTTGGATTTCACAAAAATAAATTTCTAAATCTAATATTTTCAGATTTCAAGGTGGTGGAGCATGAAGTTTATGCTGGTTGTAAAATGCAAGCTCCATAAAGCTGGGCTTGCTGGGAATATTATTCAATAGAAGACTCCTTCTTTTAGTCCATGTATAATGCTATAATGAGCTTCTCCCTAAAAATTCACCATTTAAGCCCTATTGCAATAAAAGATATGAAAATAACTATTTTCCGACTAAAATTTCCCAAAATTCTAAGAGTTATTGACCAACACAAGGTTATGGAGAATTATTAAGAATAATAAAGTTATGCTTCAAAGCAGCCAGGAGCATCGATGTCGCTCATGGTCACTGTCCTTTTGAAGTTATTGGAGAAATCTTGAGTTCAAACTTTTGATTTCCCTCCAAAACCTTTCAACTCAGAAACACTCTTGGGTAGATTTTCGATTTTAGTTATTTGCTGAGGCGATCTTTTGATTTCAGTCTTTTTCTTGGTTATCCTTCTTGGTCTGTTGTACTTTTTGAAAATAGGATGCTTCTGAGTTTCTAGGACAGTATCGTCCATTGATGGAAAAGAACTTCTAGTGTTGGCTTTTAAGCATGATTGTGCTTTGAGCTTGCTAGTCATCTCCTTACTAAAATGGAATTGGTTTCCAGTCATGTTCTTCTCCAAATTTGGAGAGGTGTTTACTGAAGAGACAGATACACTTTCATCAACAAATTCTTCACTCAAATTTTCATCGAAAATAGGAAAATTGATCATTTTTATTATTTATATATACCAAGGCTTGCGTTCTTATATGGGGTTTTGGGGTTTTGGGGTTTTGGGGTTTTGGGG